ATAACTATTCCATATATTTAATTTTATTTTATATTTAAAAATTAAAATTAAAAGTATAATTAATCAAAATTTTTAATTTAAAAAAATTAATTAATTTTACTCGAGTGAGTTTGAGTTTGCCCAATCAGACCCTGACCTATTCCAGCTGGATTTGGGTAATATTAAATTTTAGGTCAATACCTTAGACTTATGATTCGATCATAGTGGGTGTAGGGTTGAATCTGGGTCCAATTTTGCCAGCTCTAACCTTATGACAGGCTTGCTGAGGATCCAGGTCAAGTAACTTGACGGTTGGCTAATTTTAGATGTTTACTGAATCAAAGAGGAGTTGCTGCTGCTTCTTTAACGGGCCAGGCTGAGTTGTCCCCATTGAACCAGGTTCTTGCTACATGCAATTAGAACCAGAAACACTTGCACAATTCCTAGTTGAAAAATGCAATTTGGCTGTGAATTGCAAAGACCCCCATTTTTAGGTACCTCATACTGCTGGATGCATTATTCCTTAAAAGTTCAGGCAGTATTGAGCTGCTTTCTTCAATTTCTTCAATAAAAGGTTTTATATGCCTTCTCTAGTCTTGCAACAACTGAAGCTTGCCTTAAAAACATGAATGGCCATATCATGTTTCTCCTTTGGTTCTGGGATTGAATCAAGGAAAGAGATGCTAATCTTTACCTGAGTTAAAAATGAACAACCTAAATTGTCAAGAAATACCTAATTGCAAAACCCCTGTAAGGATCTTCCCGATATCATTCTTGGCCCACCGAACCTTTAAACTTAAATTTTAATCAATTTAGGCCGTGGGTCTTAATTCAATCCAAATACTTAAACATCCAAAGGCCCTAACAATTGCAAAAATAAGCTAATGACCTAAGTAATTTAGAAGTAATTTAATCTCTTCTCAGAGAAAGTGTAGGGTGTGTTGAGGTATAGGAGATAGTTATCTTTAATTATATAACCTAAGGTCCAAAAATAAAAAATAAGATAATTGCAAGAATAAGGAGTTAACTATTATGTTTGATTGTTACCTCTAATCCAACAGATGTAATCAATGAGATTCCCTTTGTTGCATTGTCCATATAGGTGATTTACAATGAGTATTATTATTTGTTCAATCTAGATGTCTTATGCTTAAGAATAAAATGAACTTCTTTTAGATTTGAACCTAATTAATTATATAAAATAATTTGTTTATACATAGTAAGATTATTTGAACTGTTAAATGGTAGTTATTGTAATATTAAATCATGTAATTATTATATTACTTATTATTATGATTCAGTAATGTATTATGTAAATACAACATTGACTATCAAATTATTACTTCCCATCCCTGTTCTTCAGGAAGGTTTCAATTAATTGAAAAGTTGTTTTTATTTATTTATTTATTTAAAAGGGCCTTTTTTTTGGTTTTTTGAACAAGAACAAATTTCCTATTTTCAAGGGCGAGCTGTAAGTAGCCTGGTACCAAGGTTTTACAAGAATGATATGTATTTTTATTCCATTCATATGAACAAGGGCATAAAGAACAAACAAAATTTCAAGGACAATGTTTGCAATGTAAAAAAGGTCTAACTATTTGGACAACAGAGCAGTTCAAGGTTTCCAAGGTGCAGGGGGTGGCGGACTGGGTGGGAATAGTGGTGGAACAGCTGAAAAAATTGTATTCTTGTCAATGCCAACGCCGCCTGTGGTAGTAACGGAAGCAAGTGCAGCTACCAATCCAGCATTTCCGGCCAAGGTTGGCTCAGTGTAGTTATAATTGCTCCTCACATCTTTGAACTGGTCGAACCTATCAGGACCTCCCACCATGGCTCCAGTGATGTTGTTAGGATTCGGATTGGGAGTGTCACGCCACTTGTATCCGCCTGTGCAAGAGTACTTCTTACCGTCATGGGGTATCGACGCACCACGGTGGTGCACATGTCTGGGAAACTGGCTGCCATACCCCACCACATAACTCATTTTCATGGGGTTTTTCCCCAGAATGTAGTCCATCTGGGAGGTCGCAAAGCTCCGGAGAACATTCAAGGGGATATAATCCGGACCGCAGTTTATCCCCGGGATTCCGGTGGCATTCAAGTAATCAGCAAATAGGGAGGCCAAGAAGGCGGTGTTGGCGACATACTGAAGCGGCTGCTGTGGCTGCTGATATTGGAGTTCGATCATCCCCCCTCGAGTCCAATTGAAGACATTGAATTCGTGAAGGTAGGAGCACATATTCAAAATGGTGACATTGTGGTACATACTCAGCATATCCTCATAAGGGTAACCGGGATTCAAGAAAATCCGGTACCTTGTCAGTAGCAGCATCGCCGCCGGCAACTTGTTATCCCAACTCAGCACTCTCTGCCCCAAAAACATATAAAAGGCCTTGGAATTCTTCGGAATTCCTGGGTTTGTCGCCAGCGAAATGTAGGTGTTGTTGCCGGTGGCGTAATACAGCCACGCCGCACCCCACATGTACTCGTCGTAGTACCCGGAGGAATTGTAATATGGTTCGATGAAAGAGTTTCCGACGGAGTACCTTCTCCGGCGGCCGGGATCCCTGGCAAAGGCGAACAACGTTTCAGCTCCCTTGATTA